CAAGTCATAGAGATTACCACAGAAATTACGCAAACACGGAAAGAGACAAAACACACAATTATTATAGAAAATGGGTGACCTCTGTCATTCATAATGAGTTATGTCCCCAAAATTAAGACCAACTGGGTATGCTCTTAGCTACTGTCCATATCAATATACCCACTAGTATACTGTAATGGTATTATGTCCAGTCAAGTCACTTACGAATCTGAAACAATGCCTTCTGCTATTTCACAAACATGCACAAAGAGAAGAGCGAATGTAAGAATCCATCTCAGGTTATGTCCAGGAAAATGAAGCCACGTGTTGTGATGAATTTGTACTTTTGAGCTTTGGCTCCCCCACCCTGAAAAAAAAAAAAAGAGAAAAAAAGTAAAATCAGAGATAAACAAAGGATCAATTATAATCATGGGAATACTTTACATTGTGATAAGCTTTGGGAGGTTCCTGAAATCTTATTGTTTTCTAGTGTAGCAATGGAAATCCTGGTCTATTTTCATTATGTTAAAAAAAAAGTAATTTCATCTGATTTTTAAAAGACTGTCTAGTCTAAAACAACATTTGCTGCATTGCTCAAGAATAACACCAACTTTGGGTGACAACATGGTTCTATCTCATGGTAATCAGAAGCTCTGACAGCTTTCTGATTCATTCAAAAAGAAACAAACTGATGACTATAACAAAAGAAATCTGGGGTCTAAAATCTTTCAAAATATTGGATCTGCAGTGGGACCAGAAAAAAAAGAAGACATATTTGGTTATAAAATATAAAACTCAGCTAAGTCAACTCTTATTCATATGCATATCATATGAGAAAAATTGCTACTTATGACTGGGCCAGCACTATTCAGCAGTGGTACTGATACTTTTCTCAAAGATAGCTAAAGTTTTGTTCACTGATGATGAGTTTTTAAGCAGGCTCAAGAACATNTCTCAAAGATAGCTAAAGTTTTGTTCACTGATGATGAGTTTTTAAGCAGGCTCAAGAACATGCGACCTTAGCTCATCACTGAAGAAAAAAATTCAAGGTTATATTTGAGTAAAATTTTAATAGTTTCCTACCAAAACTATAGATAGAGTAACACCACTTCATATATGATATGCTATGAAAGAATCCCACTTTTGTCACCTTTAGTCCACCTTTTTTCTCATTTTTATAAGTAGAAAAAGCCCCATGTATTTCAAGAATGAATGGGGGGTTGCACTTAAAATACTGTGAAGAATTTGTGTGTACACAAGAGGGACCCCTGAAGCATTCTTTGAAAAGGGAATTGGTTCATGTCTTAGTTGTTTCCAAATCTACTTCATCATTGGAAGGTTAGTTACATTTAATATAGTCTATTAGAATTTAGGCTATAAATTCTTGCAGGCCAGTTTTGTGTCCTTTCTGCAACATTATAATTTTTCTTGTGCCTGATACTTCCATAGATTTATTTATGATCTCTCACTAACTCAAGTAGCCAATTTTATAAATAAAAAGTGTGCATTTTTGTTCATTTTTCTTTGTCAATGTCCAATTCCACTCTATTCAAACATCCTTACTGCCAGCCTCTGTGCTGGATGTTAGGGATACAAAAAAGAATGGCACAGTCCTGCTCCCAAAAAGTTTACTGGTTGTCAAAAAAATGAACTATTAATTATAGAATTACATTATAAATTATAAATTATTAATTGTATAATTATAGTGAAAAATACATCCATTTTCTAATTTTACCAAAGGGCATTCTTAATGCCTTACAAATAATGCTACATAAACAATGACCAGTGTTTCTATATATGGCCACTCTGGTCCCAATAGATTTAGTGTCTGTACATTTGTTTAACATAAATAACTATGTACCAAGAGTTATGCTGGCATCTGTATAAACCATATGACAGAAATTCTTTGATCTCTATTAGAATAATCCCAAGCATCTAGTATCCTCTCAATAAATATTTGTTAAATGAAGAAAGACACATACATTATTTTCAAAGCTTCCTTTAAAGCAGATTGTTAAATTATTCTATTTTCTTAATAAAATCAGTCTGATAAATAACTATGTACCAAGAGTTATGCTGGCATCTGTATAAACCATATGACAGAAATTCTTGGATCTCTATTAGAATAATCCCAAGCATCTAGTATCCTCTCAATAAATATTTGTTAAATGAAGAAAGACACATACATAATTTTCAAAGCTTCCTTTAAAGCAGATTGTTAAATTATTCTATTTTCTTAATAAAATCAGTCTCATAACTTTTTCACTTATTTTTATGGGCAAAATCATGCCTGGGAACATTAAATACCAATTAATCCAAAATACTGGTTACCTCTTGTGAAGGGTTACGAACATAGGATTTGGAAAGAGTAATAGGATCAGGAAATGGTATGCAGAAGAAGTCCTTTTTATTCCTACTGTTATGTTCCTTCAAATGAGTGGTGATAGTTTCAATGGATGTTTTTTATATTCATCTCCATCATTTTATATATCAAAAATATTTTGTAATTAAAAAAAAATTAAAGGGTCTATTTTGGTTGGGAAAGTTACACAAGTTATTCATAATTGCCCTAAATAATTGAATTTTGTACAAATGTAAACTGTAAAAGAGTACATGAGAACAAAAGGACATGAACTCTTTCTACCTGAAACACAACCCCATCACTCCTGCTTTAACTTACACACTCTGAACCTTTCAAGACCCCAGACATTTCACCCTCTATGCAGTCTTCCCCATCAGCCCCAAGAACAGATAGTTATTCCAGCAGGTTAATGCCCAGGATAATTTGTTCCTGTATCTGTAAATGGGCTTGCAATGTTGTGGAGTTATTGCTCCTGACTTGGACACATCTGCTCCACTGTACTATTCCCTGAAGACAAATATTCTCCTTTACCCATTTTCCATTCCCTTCACCCAACACAAAACAAGTGCTCAACAAATGCTCTAGATCAATCTCATATAATTATCTCTTTCCCTCTTTTTAAAAAACTACTGCTGCTATTGAAGGCCATTCCCAAGCAAGCATGTGACCACTATTTCACCAATGGAATATCTTATGCCAAAAATATATACTTGGAAAACACAAAATGCTTGTTCTTTTTTTCACAGACTAATACATCAGTTTTCATGTTGGAGAAATTAAATCAACATTATCCCAAATCCTGTCCAATCAAAAGACATATAAACATTAAGTGTTGTAATATAGAAAATTAGATTACTCACCAATAAACAATATGGGGAAAGTGATAAACAACAGGAAGACATGAGGGACCAGGTTGAGGGCATCCACAAAGCAGGGATTTTGTAGTACACCATCATAGATATTATATGAAGAAATGTTGTTACCACAAAATGAAAGGCTCATTTCTTCTTATATGGTTTACTCTAAAAGGGAGAGAAAAGAAGAAAAAAAATCATCCTATTATTGGACTGTCTTATAAAATTATGGCCTTAAGTTAGACCATAAAATTAATCCTCCTCATTTTTGCAGTTTAGGAAACAGAAAACTCTACACCAAAGTAACTTGAGGATTTCTCAGAAAGGCCTTATACATTCTATAAGGTCCTCTTTTCCATAGCTTTTTTTTTGAGAAAATATTTCATTTTGATTTGGAAAAAATGTAATAATATCTACATAAAATAGTACCTCAAAGGAGTATCTGTTTGGCTAAAATTATTTCAAAGAACACAAATTGTGATATATAAAGAAAAAGGAGGAGAAAAACAAAACTAACAACTGAAAAGTCAAAGTGGAGCAATATCAAATGCTTTGCCATGCTTATTCATTGAAAAATGCATCACCAAACAACAAATTTCAGCTGAACACAATTTAATGAAACATTCATTAACTGCAAGAAATAGTGATACACAGAGACATGGCTGCAAAAGTAACTGGCCTTTTTCTGAAGAATATTAACAGCAAGTGCTTAAGACAAATTAAATATAGCTCAAGTTACAAGTTAATGAAACTACTCAGATCCCATAGTCAGAAATATTCTTTAAAAAAATGCACTCTACTCAAACTTCAAGACAAAGGATGTCTTTTGATTGGAAATCTGTGTTCCATTAAAGTAGAGTAGATGAGGTAAGAGAGGAAACAGACAACAAGATCACAGGGGCTTTGTAAGTCATTGGCTTCTACTATGAGTGAAGTGGAGCCACCAACGGTTTTTGAGCAGAGGAGTGACATGCTCTGACTTATATTTTCAATGGATCCCTCTCATTGCTGTGCTGAAACACATGGTAGAGGAGCAAGGGTCTGCTTGCTCAAAATACGACTGCGAAATTTCAGCAACTGTTTTAGCATTCTGAAAACTTCTACCATTTATTTTGCAACTAATAAATTCTGGGTGCTTTGCATACTTTACCTTAACTCTTTGGAACAATCATGTAAGGCTAGAGGTGTTCTTTGCATTCTATAGCCAAGGATACTGAAGTTCTGGTAGGCCCAGTAACTTGTCCTCCAGTAGAGGAGCCGCACCCAAATGTGTGTGACTTATAAACTGTGTTTTTTCCACTGCATCGCACAACATGTTTTTTAAAGGAAGTATCTTATCTATTCTTATTAAAACAAGTGGCGGTTTAAGATTTTAACCTCACTGGACTTTGTTTCTTTTCCATATTTATGTCACACTGTATTTTGACTTAGGTCATTAAAGGCTAGCAAAAATTTGATTAATATAGTACCTTTTCTCTCTTTCCTTTCATTGATAATTGATTTAGCAATGGTCGTAAATCGTATTTTCCTAGGAAAAAAACAGAGTGTTTGAAAAGATTGGCAACGGTAAGGAAATTATCAGAGAAATCACATGTTGAGCAAAGGTTTTATAAAGCATTGTATGAATACAACAACTAGTTAGAGAGCCTGTGTATTCACCACCTTAAATGCTTATACGGAATCCATCTCACGTATTATTTCTGATAAACCCCCTTTTTGATAAATCATTGACTTTCTAGTTGAGACATTTTCTCATCTTTTTAAAAAAAAGGTCATATTTTTAAAAAAACTCAAGGTGAGGTTATATATTTGCGAAATTCTTACCAACTATTAAAGTTTTAAGCAGGATAAAAGAATTTAAAAGGACTTGAGATTTTTAAATAACAGTAAAATGGAAGTTATTAATTCATATGTATAGGTTAGATACATTTCTGATAAAGATGAAACAAACAGAAACTAAAAAATCATAGCTAATAATGGAATTTTTAAGACTACTTCATTCAGTAGAAATGATCAAAGGAAGCTTTAAGCACACTCTTAATTGAAAGAGAGTCAGAATGATATCTTTCTTCTCCCATAATTTCACATTTCCCTCAGCTCCCAACCTGGCCACTACTCTTTTCATAGGTCTCCTTTTACTTTTTCTTCCGCCTCTTCCTCTGTGCTTCTTGACCCTTAGTCACCTTCTCCAATACCCAGTGTCCATGTGGCACATTCTAAAGCCAGCCCACGTGCAACCCAACATGGGCAAAAAGAGACAAGGAGTAAACTTATTGCAGCTATGGTGATAATCACTGTGTTTATCAAAGGCACTTTATTCAGTCAGGGTTTCTAACTTTAAGAATTTAATTCTTAAATTCCCCTTGTCATTCAGTGCTTGTCGTTCAGTGCTACCAGAATCTAGGTTAAGTTAGCAATGCTAACATCCTTCAGCCCTGCCCCTTCTGCACTGTCCAGTTCAGCAAAGCACTGACAGAGGCCCAGGCATCAGGAGGAGGGAGAAGAGGACAGTTGGGAAGATGTGACATGTTCCTCCCCACAAGCATAAACACATTGAGAGATGCTCGAGTGTTTATGACAGTCAATAGGGCTGGAGAACTTGACCCAATAAACTTTAAAGACAGAGATTCAAAAGTGAAACTCTGATTATAGGGAGGGTCTACAGAGCAGAAAACAAAATGAAAATACTCCTCAATGATCTAACTTATGATTTCTTGTCAAGAATAGCACTGTCAGTATTCTCACTTCTTGAAATGCATTTTATGAAGTCCCACACCCTTAGTAAGACTTACAAAATTTGGATTTAGTTGAATATAATAATTGACCTATCAGCTCAGTTGGTCTGTAAGAGAGGAACAATAGTGATCTGATTTAGTTCTAAAAATACATTCAAGTAATAAGGTATATCAGGTACACCATTTATTTTTGCCAGCCCCCTCTTCTGGAAGTCGACTATGAGGAAAATAAGTGAAAACTAGCACTCTTTCCTGTTGACCCAACAGAAAGTGTCAGTTTTGATCAAATAGCAATTCCAGAGAACTTACAATGCTGGAAACACCTGAAGAAA